GACGGTGAATACCCCTCCTCGCCCTCGACTTGGAACCTAAATAAATTGYTAGTTTGACTTCCAAGTAAACCAGGAACTCTATCATATTAAGATTTTTTTTTTCTTTTTTGTCATCCCTACTTCCCTTGAGGTTGGAGGTTAAAAATCTTACCCACATTTGTTGTACTAAAAAAACTAAAACTAACTTATTGTTAAATTGGATTTAGTCTATCATTTGATAACATTTTTATTTATTGTTTATTGTTTCCTCTTTTTTAATAAATGAAAATAGAACTACATTTGCTAATTGTTTCTTGTTTCCTGTTATTTATTAATTGAAAAAAATAAACAAACATGTTTGGTAACAATTTTCTTGTTTCTCCCTCAAATTTAAAATTTTAAACTTTAAATTTTTTAGATSAAATTTAATTTCTTAAATTGGATATTTTTTAGAAGACCTGGATGGGTTAGTTGGATTTCAACATTATCGATTGACTAAAAATAGGAAAAAAATTTCAAAAATTACGAGTACAGTCATTCATTACTAAAATTAGTTATTATACGTATTTTCTTAGATATTTATTACGAATTTTATAAGTCAATAATGATTAAAAAATATTTTTATTTATATTTTGAAAAAAAACAAAAACTATAAAGAAGAAACTTGGGACTTAAGGWCTTGTTTGATGACGTTCTTGTTTGTTTTTTATTTCTAGTTTTATTGAGACCTAAATAGTTGCAACTATTTATGTTTTTTATTTATCAAGTTTTACGAACGGTACAAAATTAAGTTTTCTTGTTTTTTTATTATCGTTTATAAATTTTTTAAAATATAAATATAAATATTATTCCATCATTGTTGACTTCTAAAGAATAAGAAATAGTTACAAAATACAATTACGAAAACGTTACAAAGTGCCCTCAAGATCGAGAAATAGTTACAAAATACAATTACGAAAACGACCAAATAATGAAAAAAAAAAAAGGAATGTTGGTAATGATAAAAGAGAGTGCCAAAAATAAATGAGAAAGGAGACAATGGTGGAGTTGTTACAGTTACCACTAATCTAACACAAGCTTTGATGGAGCCTGCAAAGTGCGGGCCCACCACAGAGACACCAACCAGAGCCCGCCACGTKTGAGTCAYATRGAGAGTGACGTGTTGAAATTTGGTAGGACGAGAGAAATGTTTTGGCGGGAAATGGGGGGCAACAGATCCTCTACATCGTGGTCGTACGTTCGAATCTCTCCCACTTTGGTAAAACCTATGATTACTCAGTTGAATTTTAGTTTTTTTATTGACCGTTGGATGGATAATGGTCGACATCTCCAAACACATGTTTTTCCTTTTTTATTGGATAAACTTTGAAGCATCTTCATCTATTTTTGTTTTAATTAGTTTTGTATTGTTTGGATAATTGCCTGTGTTACGTTGGATTTAAATTGTGATTTAAAAATATGAGATAGAAAGTAAGATGAATKGATCGAAATGATCATTTTCAAAAGTTTATGGACRAAAATGAATGTTTTGAAAACATTGGTTRAAATAAACAAAAATTGATATTACAGAAATTAAAATGCGCATTTTGAGAAACCTATGGACCAAAAATAAATATTTTAACCTTAATCATAAATTATATTTWGGATATTTCAATGTTAAATGGCAAGAATTTTAGCCTGTGATATCTAAATTCTAAAGGCATGTCTCAGGATGGAACCATAAATTTCTTCAAAGACGAACAAAACTTTATATTTTACTTTTTTATGTCCGTAATTGGAAAATCTTGAAAATTTAGGGAGGAAACGAAAAATAAGAGAAAATTTTAAAAATCTTAATGTTTTTAATCCTCTTCATGTATTCGCATATTTAAAAATGTAATAACAAGATTATGATTTTGTAAATACGACTGTTATCTTAAAAGTTTTACAACTTCTTTAGACATTTTTACACAATTTCCTATTTATTCTCGTATATCACTCATTTTCGCCTATTACTATTGATAGACGTCTTCACTAATTTAGTCTATCAACCTATTTTAGTTTTTCTCATGAAAAAAGTTTGTGTTGTTTTTTTTTTTTGGTTATATTTACAAATGTAGAATGTTGCCTTTCTTTTTTTAGATAGTTGAACTTGTTTTTTCATACATGCACATGCTCTTAATTATTTTATACTCAACTTTGACTATATTTAAATCCCTTTGTACAAATTGCATCTTTAAATTTTAATTATAAATTGAAATCAATAGAAAAATAAAAATACCCTAAAAATGGAAATAAAGAGTTCAGAACAGAGTAATATTCTTTAATAAAAACTCGAATATTTTACTATGATAATGTTCCTCACAAAAATATAACCGCAGGACATAAAGACAATTAATATCTGTACTTCTTTGACTTTCATTAAAAACAAATAAATAAATAAATTTGTCAATTTTCCCTATATTTAATGGATGAATTCTATTTTGAAATGTTCCATGCCCCTTCTTTGTCGACATACGTTCCTATCAAATCAATCATTTTCAATTTACTAGTAAAAGAAAAAATTATCTTTATTTGTCAAATTACTTAATTGTTGATATATATCCTTCAATTTTGAACTAAAAATAAATCAGTTTTCTCCACCCCGGACCAAGTAAAATTGTTAAATATTTCATTTAGTTATTCAATTTTATTTTGAAATAATTATTGACAAAGGGTATTATAAATTTTTAGTTCTTCAAAAGTTAGGCACACGATTTTAAATATTTTTCTCCCTCTTTAATTTGTCAAAAGAAACAACTCTCATTTTAATAGGATGGACACGTGTCACTATATTATAAAGATTAATCCATCTTTTTATTGGGGTGGGGTAGGGGGAGGGGAGGTGTAGGCTTTTAGTTATCTTCCAAAGCAACCATATGATAAGAAACATTTCAAAAAAAAAAAAAAAAAATCATATTTAGAATTTTTTTGAAGCAGTTTACACTATGACAAAATCGGGTTTGACATGTCATTAAATAATAACGATGTTGGACATGCGTCCGACATCATTTCGAGTGTTATTGTATGTTTTTATGTCGAACGGATGTTAATGACGGGCATAGTCCGTCATTATAGACGATCGACATTGTAGCCTACAATGACAGTTGTTTGTGATGTCAGTTGTGGACCGACATCTATTCAACTGTTATTGTAGCCGTTCGTCATTAAATATCCGTCATTTTCCTAATGATGAGAGGTTAAATCCTCCGACCCTCTAGTAGAATTTTAAAGAAATCAATCATCAAGCAATTGACGATCTCTATTTTGTTAGTTAAGTTTGATTCACACTACGAATATAGTGATTAAATTTAATTGGTCTTTACCTTCGATTGGATGTTTTTTATTTTTAATAATCTTATGTAGGTTTCTCATATAATAAAAAAAATAAAAAATGGGTGAAGGCATAAAAAATGTTTGAAAAGTTGCGTTTCAAAATAACTATTCATAGAGTTAATTAAAAGTGTTCTAATCTAAATACTTTAATTAAAGTTGAATATCTTGGATTAGATTTTTTATTAACCCTTTGAATTTAAGTTACATAATGGATTTTGTATTTAAATATCTCTAACTTTTAGATGGTCTAGTAATAGGATTTATTTTGATATGTTATTTTAATATGGTGAATTCGTTAGAGATTGTATCTAATCAAGAAGAATATGATTCCCAATAAAATCAACATTTTTTTTCTCTCCTTTTCCTTCCTTCTCTTTCTTTATATATTTTTTTAAGAAACTTTTTTTAGTTCTTTTTCCAAACTTAGAGTATGGTTGGATAAAAAAAAACTTAGAGAATGGTTTGGAAATTTGTTTTCATTTTTGTTTTCAAATCTGATTTTAATAAATGTAATTCAATAAAGGTAAATTACACACATTGTATTTTTTTTGGTACAACATGTATAAGTGGGAGATCGAACTCACAACATTTAGATTGGAGATATATAGCAATTAACGCTGAGCTATACTCATATTGGCCACACATCACAATTTTGATAGAAAAAACTTTGTTTTATTAAATAAAAACTTACCATAATATAATTTAGTTTACTTTTTTTTAAAACTTCCTATTGTTTCCATATATATATATGGAAAAACACACCAAAAAAAAAAGAACAATTTGTTAAAAATTTATTTTTAAAAAAATTCCATAGAATTTCAAATTTAACGATGATTTAATATAATATTAAAATAATAAATATGTGTAAGGGAAAAAAGTGTTAAATTCAAACTTGTGTTTCCTTTTCACAACAATAATTGATAATTCATTTATTGGGTCTATAGTTAACTTTTGAGTTCACAAACACTTGCTGGGCAGCAAGTGTTGATTTAAAAGTTTGATGGATAAATATCCGATAAATTTCAAAATTTTAAAAATATTTAATAGATCTTGAACTCATAAATTTTTAAAAATGTCTGATACACTCTTGAACTTTACAAGTATTCAATTGTATGGTTAATCAGTGACATACGAAACAGTTTAGACTTAGTAGACAGTTTTTAAAGTTTATGAATTTATCGAACAAAACAAAAGTTTTAAAAATTTTGAATTTAGTAGAAATCTTACATAATTATCCAAATGTCTTTTTAGTTTTTACAAAACTTTTGTTCTCAAAGGAAAAAAAAAATCAAAACAGTTTCTTAATCTAAAAGTCTGCGTTCAGTAATTGGCAATTTGGCTTATTCCCATTGGTCAGCAGCAGCACATGATCTCCTTATGCAGTAGAAAACCTCAGACTTTACCAACCAATAAAACCCCAAATATTACAATCGCATCCCTTTTGTCGGAAAGCTGAATCCAACGGCGGAGTTTGCTGCACATTGCTCCACGCCATTGGCTCTCCTGTCAACCTCAGCTGTCAGACCGTCAGCCATTGGTCCACGTTTCAAGCTCTAGATGGATCCCTTAATTTATTAATATTTCATTTCTAACCAAAAAAATTTGTTTTTTTATTAAAAAAACCCAGAAAAGTAAGCTCAGAAATCCTCAATATAAGCTCAGAAATCTGCGAGAGACACCTGTCGTCTCTTCCAGCCCAAAGAAAGAGGTCTCTCAGCTCAGCTCACTGCCAATTTTCCCAAAAATATCCAACAAAAGGGGGAAAAAAAGGAAAAAAAAAAAAGGTGGGCTGCCATTTTGTTTCACTCATAGTCTTCCTTTTTCTTGCTGTGTTTCGTTTTGTTTCTCACTGCTTTAAATGGCGATTAGTTTAGTTTTTTTTTTCCCCTCTTTTAGTTCATTGATTGTCTTTTTTCATTTTTCTGTAATGGGGTTGTGTAATTTTGTGTTCTATTGCTGTTAAAATGCTGATTTGGGATTGCAGATGTTTGGAAAGTGGGTCTGTGAATTTGGAAGATTAAATGAGCTGGGATTTTTGGTCTTGGACTAATTTTTGTTTGAAATTTGGGATTTGATCTGAACTGACTTTGATACTTTGATTGATTTTGTTTCTCGAGGTTTTGATTTGAACTTGTTTGGTCTCTCTTTGAAGCTTAGGTTTGTAGATAAAGAAAAAGGATCAGTTCTGAGAGTTATGCTCTCTTGATAATTACTGCCTGTTTTTGGGTATATAGAGCTCGGAGTTGATAATCCAAATGTTTAAGATTCAATCTCATCACTCTAATGAATTAGTTTAATTAAGTGTCGTTGGATAACTTTTTTTTTTCATCTTCTATTTTTTAAAATTAAACTTATAAACTCCTTCCACTTTTGGGTTTATCTACTTTGTTAACTACAAAATCTTAGTCAAATTTTGGAAACTAAAAGAGAGAAAAGTAGTTTTTAAAAACTTGTTCTTGTTTTTTGAAGTTTAGAAAGAATTCATACATGTCTTTAGAAAAAGTGATTACCATACTAAAGAAATTATGAAGAAGTAAGAATCATTTTTAAGAATAGAAAACTATAAATAAAATCATTACCAAACGGAAAAATTGGGCCTATAGTGTGTTTAATATAATGGTGCTTGCTTTTTGATGGTGTAAGTTTATGGCATCAGCTTTACTTCTTCAAACTGAGTTGCTGTGATATGGGCTTGTGTTATCAATATGCTGAAACTGGGTGGCTTGAAAGTTTGTCTTGACTCTTGCATAATAGTTTCTGAACAAAAACAAAAACAAAAAAACAAAAAACAAAAAGTTTCTGAACCAAATCGCGACCTATTTGCCGTTGAAGTTATATTGAGAGCTCATTTTCATCCTTGCAAACTTCTTGGAGATGAATTTCTTTTGGAAGTTTTTGTGCTGGTTTATAGGTGTATGGAAATCATAGTAATTGGAGAATAATGTCTAAGAGCTATCTAATACAGGGTTTAGGGACAACCCCTGACAAATCTTTTAGCTTTCATTCCACTGACAAATTTTCTTTCATTCAGTAGAAAGAAACCAAGACAGGCAGACTTGGAAAGGAAGACTCGACATATTATAAGAGAGACGGCTGTTCAAGGCAGTTATCTTAAGGCAGTTGTCATATCAACACGAATTGAGCTCTCAAATGAATTTCAGGAGCTTAGAGGACATGCCACCAGGAGACGGCACCCTGGCTAAGGCACAGGCAAGTTTCACATTGACCAGACAGCCTTCAATATATTCTTTAACTTTTGATGAGTTTCAGAACACCTGGAGTGGACTTGGAAAGGACGTCGGTTCGATGAATATGGACGAACTTCTGAAAAACATATGGACTGCTGAAGAGTCTCAGGCGATGACATCTGCTGCTACTACTACTGCAGGCGGAGCTGGAGCTGGAAGTGCCTACAGTGGGAATGGGAACCTACAGAGGCAAGGTTCGTTAACTTTACCGCGAACCATTAGTCAGAAAACAGTTGATGAGGTTTGGAAAAACTTGAGTGAAGAGAATACTAGTGTTAAAGATGGCTGCGGAGTCCAGGGAAACTTGCCTCGACGGCAACCAACGTTAGGGGAGGTGACTTTGGAGGAATTTTTAGCTAGAGCAGGAGTGGTAAGAGAAGAACCTCAGCATATTGAGAGGCCATTTAACTGTGGATTTTATGGTGGATTATCAAGAGATGACAATAATGCTAGTTTGGCTCTTGGGATGCTTATGGGAAATCAGATAGCTGAGAACAAAAATATGGTTTCTAATCAGAACCAAAATGCAGTGTTTTTAGGGGCAGGAGGTGTGAGGTCTTCTCAGCAACAGCAGCAGCAGCCACTTTTTCCCAAGCCAGCTACCGTGACTTTTGCTTCAATGAACTTAGCAAACAATCATCAGCTTGCTACCCCGGGATCCGGGACTACTTTGGTTGCAGCCCCCAAACCTCCTTTACATGATACTTTACAGGGTGGTAGCATCGGTGCGGTTGGTTTAGGCTCAAGAGGCGTCACTGTTGCTTCAAGATCTCCTACCAGTACAACATCATCTGATCTGATTACAAATATCAACATAGAGACACCTTCATATTCACCAGTTCCATTTTCATTTGGCCGGGGAAGACGAAGCAGCGGAACTCTGGAAAGGGTGGTCGAGAGGAGGCAACGAAGAATGATAAAGAACAGAGAGTCGGCTGCAAGATCACGTGCTCGAAAGCAGGTAGACATGCTAATGGCCATCGTAGTACTCATACATTTTTTAACCATGAAATGCTCTTTCCTAGTACCCTTGGTTTTTAAAAGTATATTCATCTGTTGTATACTTGCTTAGGACTTGGTCTAAAACAGTGAGCCACCAAAAAGGCTTCTAGCCTAATGAAATTCCTGAGTTAATTATGTTCCTAACAGTTCTACCCAAAATATTATAGACGGATTCCTTGTATCATGTATATAGCTGGGGATTATATTTTTGCCTGTTAAACTTACAGTTTAAGTCTACTGATAGTCAACTCCATAACTTTTATTGTTATGATATCTGTGATATCTTCCATAAAGAAGATTCACAGCTTATGCTGAAAAGATTTCTGTGGGGCATATTCTTTTTTTTATATAACTTGGAATCGGAGCTTTGTTCTCCTATAGTCAGGGGCACTTGTGCCTGCCTTAAGGCCTGGACCCGGGAGAAATCAAAGGTTTTTTTGTATTAAACTCACCATAAGGTTTGAACTTGAGACCTCTGAGTCAGTATGATCAAGAGATCTCAAGTCCTTGCCAATTGGATTACCTCTGAAGACTTGCGAGGTATATTCTTTGTAGTGGAAAGTTCAACGATAAGAGAAACAGGTTGAGGGTGTCAAAAATAACGTAAACCCTATACCTGTGTTCAATGATTTTAGCATCCATATAAATTATAAATTCTACGAGTTATATTCTTAGTTAAGTTCATCAGTTATATGCTTATTTTTCGTATGTCACGTGTATCGACGCCTTGAAGTGTAACTTGCAATTTATCACTCATATTTGAATTAAACTCTGCAGTCTTTACCTTAAAATTGTACTCTCAAGAGATTAGTGTAAAAACATTCTTTGATGCTGCCAACACTTCCAGCCAATTACACAAACCATTTTGAAACTGGACTGTTCAAAGTGGCTAAGGCATCTTAGTGCTGTAGAATCCAGGCCTCAGAAATCAAAGTCTGATCATTTAACTCTGCTTTACAAGTTTTAGATTCTTCCACAATAAGAGTTTGATATTTCAGGCTTACACCTTGGAACTAGAGGCAGAAGTTGCAAAACTCAAAGAAATGAACCAAGAGTTGCAGAAGAAACAGGTATATTTCATATTAGAAATGATTTTATTTGGTATATTTGGTTTAAGCAGCCATCTTTACCTCCATTTGTCTTTTGTTTATGCATCTTATCATCTGCAGAGAGAGATAATGGAAATGCAGAAAAATCAGGTACATATTTCTCCCATCTGTCTCGAAACTTCCAACTCAAGTTTTCATTTTAACAACCCTTTGTTTTTCCTTGTGTTTTGACAGATCTTGGAGAAGATGAAATGTCAGTTGGGAGGTAAAAGAATCTGCTTAAGAAGAACACTGACTGGCCCTTGGTAGAGTTACCGCGACGAACGGTCGAATTTAGATTATAGTGTCTGTAACAAACACAAAAGCAGTATGCAAAAGGCTTAGGCTGTGTGTTTCTAATCTGATTTCAAGCTTACAGTTAGATTGGTAGCTGTAAATATGGAAGTTCGGGTTAGCGGTATGTAGATAGCATATATCAGAAAGCAGAATTGAGCCTTGTCATGTATAAATGAACTTTTTGCTTTCTTGTGGTTGTTTTCTTGGATCTCTGTTTCATAAAGCTGTTTCTGATGGTTTGCCATCCAATTATTAGTATCCTGGGTTGAAATGCCTGTTTAGCAGTTATCTTCTCTGATTCAAAGCTAAACCAAAAGATGATGAAAATGTGACAGAAAACTTGCAATTCCAAACAGAGTGTGGGAAAACCCTGTATAGATTACTAAAATAATGTGCAGATACAGCTTCAAAAGCAACAAAAATAGTATGCTGAGGCTTAAAAATAAGTGCAGTGAGAAATTATAATCCACCTGCACAAAACAGTAATAATACAGGATAAAATTTCAGAGAAACTTCATTTTGTGCTCATGCTTTCATAATGAAATTTTTGTCACGGTTCACATAGAGAGATGGGGCCTTGTCTGTCTGGACAAAACATCTGTGTGAAGCAGCTCCAATCCAAAAGTTCCTCCAGTTGTTAAGAGTATCTGCAAAAGGCTTACTTAACATACTCATCTCTTGAAGAATTGAAGTTTATAGTGTCTCTCAGCCAACACGTTATGAACCTGCACGATGCACGGAGTTGGCTGCAGCTGGCAATTTCAGTGACCACTGACCATGTTTTTAAGGCTTAATCTACCAGACAATGGATGATTTTATGTGCTCCTTGGTCGTTTCTTGGAAGGAGAGGTTGTGCAACTGTACGAGCACTTTTTGTTACTTGAAAATCGCTTTCCTTTGGGACGTCATCCAGCTCTGGGATACTCGAAAACCAAACCTTCTGCTACACTTCTTGCTCTCGCATGACCAAAAAACTTGCTTACAATAGCCAATGTGAAATCTATTACATTGTAAAATCCCTTGCTCGTTATCAGTCTACCATCAATAATTACTTTTGCAGCATTTACTTCATCCGCTGACTCAGTTTCCAGAGATGGATAAGCAGTTGCTCTCTTGTCCTGTTTGGAAACTGAAATATTGAGCACCCGCTATGATGGTATAGGACCAGAAATATGATAGATGGCTTTCATATTACCTTCAGTAGACCCTGTTTAAACAGAACTGCAGGTGAAGAGCAGACTGCACCATATATCCTTTTGGCAGAATCCTGTTCTTTGAGCATCTTCTTGAGGATCCTGGATTTGGAAAGTCGCTCATCTGCCGCGGCTCCTCCCTGAAATTTTATGGCAGAAATTGTGCTAGGATGTTGAATTCAAAAGAGAGATATCTAGAAGCATTTAAGATAAGACCAAACAGTTAACCACTACAAAGTGTAAATCGACTAACTGGGAAAGAAACTTCTAATGCACTTATAAGGTAGCAAGGCATGCATAAAGTTACAAGATAAAGATTGTATTAAAAAACCATAAGAATTCACTGAGGTAATTGACTGAAGAGAAATTGACAATGATTATGATATCCAAAATCTACGATGGTGGCTTGGCTACAAGATAGCAGACAGGTAAAGAGCTTCAGTGAACATACCACACCTGGTGAACAACAAACTGTAAATAAATTTGTTTTCAAGCCCGGAGACGAATACTCTCACAATTTTTCTTCCTGTCTGGAAGTGGGTAATCAAGTCGAAGTTCTTCAGAAATTTCAATAAGCTTACCGGTAGAATAATTATATCATATATTGATTCTGCAGCTTCTTTAATCAACTTGTCAGCAACAACTTTTGTTCCTGTTGATGCCAAAATCTGAAGGGACTTTTCAACTGAAGCAATCACGACATCCACCTTAGCTCGCCTCAAAATATCAGCAATGGTTACCAGTTCGATCCCTTGAGAGCCATTTGCAATTGGTATAAGAACCTGAACAAACGAAAAAAGAATATGTAAGGTTAAAAAATCAATGTACATACCCTCTTCTGCGATTCAAGTTAATTGGAGAGATTCTTCGTAATACATTGATTTTGGGAAAATGTGGTCGTCTTCTTTTTGTAATCTACGTATTGGAATGATATTTTAGTTTCCTATCAAAAAGGAAGTTAAGCAATGTTTTGTATTGTATAACACTGGGGTTGAGAACATCCTTCTAGAACATAAATATATCATTATACCCAAATGTATTTTATGGTTTCCATTTCGGAGAATAGTAAAAGCAGTTAATAGAAAAAATTCAAGAGACACCCCAAACAAACTGTCATTTATTTAGAAAAATACAATGAACAACAATTATAATTAGGATAGATAAACAGATATTGGATGATTCCATTATAATCTCGCTTTTAACACATGAAATTGTCTATTGATTCTCAACATTACTACCTTTTACAGATGAATATATCATTTAGAATACCGTATATTCAGGACCTACAAATCAAACAGAGTTCTAGGCAACTTACACGAGGAGTATGATCAACGGACCAGTCAACTTTGTTGAACTCTTCCTTCCGTTGGCAATCATTCTCAGAATCCATCAGCTGACAGAAGAACACAAGAAAGCCAACTCAAGCATTTTAGTTATAGAATATGCGAAGTTTGAGAATCTCAAAAAGGATAGTTCCATGTGAGAATGAATAATTGCATTGGAAAGAAATAAATCGTCCTGGTATATTGAATATTCAGCACAGCTGTGAAGATTACAAGTGATAATTCCATATAATGTAATTGTTTGAGTTCCACAATGAACAAGCAAAAATATCCAAGAAAATATTACATAGAAGATCAGCTATAAACCTCACCAATAATTCTCCAACCTCCTTAGCAACGGATTCTCCATGCAGCTGCTCAACTAAAGCTAAGGCAAATCCGAAAGTAGTTCCTGGACCACGGCTTGTCGTAAGCTCTCCTGATACTTGAATATTTGATTTAACAGCCCAGAATGTTGGGAGCTTGTCAGTGAATGCAGGGTGACAAGTAGTCTTGCACAACAAACTACATTATAATTAGCAATTACATTCATATTTTCAAATAAGCTATATGTATTCTAGTTTGATTCCATAAGCTACCTGTTTTCTTCTTACAAGACCCCATGGCAGAAGGGTGACTGCTGGAGCAGCACATATAGCTCCATACAGCCTCTTCTCCTCAGCTTGTCTGCTGGTAATTTTCCGCAGTATTTCGCAATCCCTTAATCTCACAGAGCCAGGCATCCCTCCCTAATAATGTATGCATAACTATTATAACCATAAGTGAAAAGTTCTTTGACAGGCCATCTACAGTGCTGAGATTCCTAAGGTGGAAAATGACAGTCACACTCACATCTTCAGTCCTCAATTGTTACAGTGCTAAATATATCTTAATTATGTCTTCCCAATTCTATTAAGAAATATATCAGTCATGCCTTACACGGCCACTCAACGATATATCAGGTGTAAATCCTATTTTTGACCATGGAACATTTTTGTCCCTAAACTTTTAATTGTTCTATTTTAGTCCTTCAATTTTTAAATATTTTGTTTCGGTTCTTAAAACTTTATTAAAAAGAAAAAAAGAAAAAACCGTTTTAGTCCTTGTCATTGTTTCATTCATCATTTTAAAAAAGTTCTAAACCTGTCTCATAACCTGACATTGGTTCTACTATTGCAGCTTCAAACACTTGATTTACACCTATTCTTGCATATATTTACTCATCAAGTACGTAAACAAAAAACGTTCTTATTTTATTAGAGTAAAATATTTGAAAGTTCACAGACCAAAAAAAACTTGAAACTTCAGAGACCAAGTAAGATTTATATAAAACTATTACTATGGCCGCTTTCTCACCGTTTTATTATGTTTGTTGTCACTTTTTAAATGTCCATCAACTGTATGAAAATTATATGCTTCCTCAAAAGATTCTCAATTCTGAAGTAATCTAAGCCTTGGGTCAGTTCTAGTTTCTATTCACGAGTGAAAGTACTTACAGGCAAAGCAACGAGGTCGAAAACTTCATTGGAGCATGAATTGATTAAGGTATCAGCGACCAATTTCATACCCCCAGAAGCTTCGATTTCAAGCTCTGGTTCCACCGACGCCACAGTCACGGCGGCTCCAGCTTGACGCAAAACATCAACTATAATAACAGCTTCCATCTCCTCAGTTCCAAAACCGATAGGAACCAGAACCTGCGCGTATACACATGAGTTCCGAGTCTCTACTGTCTTCTCAAAAACAGTTTAAAAAACTTATCAAACAAAATAATTTAGGCGTTGATTCATCAATTAACGGAAAACCCATGATGGTTTTTTAAGGTTTAAGAGATGGCAAATGGATATCATAGAAGGACCTTCTTGAGAGGCTTGGACGGAGATGCATTGGTAGCTATAGTGCCAGAGCTGGAGACCGTTAGCGGTGGATTTGGAGAGAGAGTTTTCGTAGCTTTGGCAGAGAGTTTCTTGGAAACCGCTTTGCGCTGCTCCGATGCCATTGGAGCGAATGAGGGAGAAGAAACAGAGGTGGCGACAGATAGAGCCATGGGAGAGAGCTTGGGCAGAGCATTTGGTATCAAGTAAGTCGCCATTGAAACTCTGCATCAACTACGCGACCTGAATATCTCACCCCTTTCTACAAATCGTATCCAAAACCCCAAATTACGGGTTCTCGATTTTGATTCTTATATTTTGAAGTTTCAACCCTCCTTTATTTCATTTTTTTTTTATTCTTGTTCCAAAAAAACATGGTATCAAATGTCTGTGACATATTGATATTTCTACCTACATTTCTATGTACTATGGATTCAACGTTTCTATCATATTAGATATGAAAAATGTAAACAAAAAGTATTTTAAAAAATAAAAAAAATGTTTATTTATTAATTTAAATATTTTTTTACAATTTTTGAATTTTTCAACAGAAATATTTATTGATATCGACATTTTATTAATATTTTCATGAAATCGGGAGTTCGACGTTTTCATTGACATCTAGAACTCTTCCAAAGGGTGACTTCTTATTTGTAAAAATTTAACAAAAAACTTGTATCAAATAAAGTTCTCTAATACATATTATTATAGAAAAATAAGATGAAAGATTTAATGGACCACTATACTATAGAGATAAAACAAATTTTCTAAGTATAAGGAATCGAAATGAATTTCAAGTTTGTTTTTGGGACCAAAATTTAAACATTATTTTTAATATTACATCATAACTATGGCGAGTCCAACGTAATTAGTATAATTATTACCATAGTAAATATCAATAATTCAATCCCTACTCCACTATTCTTCAGCTACAAAATTTTTAAATAATTAAATGAAATATAGCATATAAGGAGACAAACCTATGAGCTCTTTAACCCTGCGGCTTTATTTAATATGTGTTATTTTAGCCGCAGTTAAACCAATTTTATTATTATTTTTTATATATATAATGGAAGTAGACAATTAGTACAATAAAGTAGACGATTATACTAAGTAGATAAAATTACACGTGAAATCAAAACATTTTTTTAGTATAACCATATCTAAAATGAGATTCGAACTCACCACTTTTTTTATTAATTTTTTAACGAGTATATCTCGAGAAGAAAGAAGACTTTAATTTCATGAAGGAGTTATATAATGAAGAGTCTCCTCAACATAATTCATCGATATGGAAATTCAGAATGTCAAAAAAACGTTGCTACTCGATGGAGAACATATTTTGCCAAACGATCAACATATTTGTTGTAAGCACAAAGAAGTTGTTTAAATGGTTCAAAATTTTCGAGTTAATTTTTTGATGTCAGAAAATCCAATTAAATTCTAATAATGATTAATAAAATGTTAATAGAAATATAAATCTGAGTATTAATAAATAAATAAAAAACATTAACAATAGGCTTTAATAAAACATGAAGCAACGAGTACTAAATCAATAATTAAAGCTGAAAACATTAATATGTTCACATAGACAGCATAACAGGATAAAGACTATGTTTTATCCTTTAAATTCCACGATATTTATTTATTCTTAAAAAAATCACAATATTTAAACAGAAAAAAAAAAAAAAAAAACAAGTCGAACCGGATAGGAGTTACAGGTAAGCTTGCAAGATAAAAATGTCGTTCTGATCTTTGATCGGCACTTCGGGAGAGATGCTGAGAACATTTGCCAGAAGAGCAGCTTCTTCTTCTTCATCCGCTTTCGCCTCAAATTCATGGATTTCGATTTCCCCCCAGGTTCTTCTTCCTAAGAAGAGGGAATTCTGCTTGGGCGTCCTTCCCGATGGAGTTGATCGGAGCTCCGACGCATTCGCCCGTAATTCCAAGGCCATGGACGCCTTCATTTCCGACCTCCGTTCTCACATTGACAAGGCATGCCGCTGTTCACTTGGAAATGGATTGTGTCGATGCTTTTGGGGAGACTGATCTTTAACTGTGTTAGTGGCTTGCAGATTCTAGCTGGGGGCGGACCCGAAGCTGTGAAGAGAAATAGGAGTCGGAATAAACTACTTCCGAGAGAACGGATCGATTGCCTTCTTGATCCTGGATCTTCATTCCTCGAGCTTTCTCAGGTTTTTGTTGCTTATTCTGTTAATTTATCCGTTGGTTTAATATTTGTTTCCATAAGAACTGCTTCATTTCATTTCTCAACTTGTTTAACTGCAAAATCATGATCATTGATTGATGATCAGTTGTTCAGATATTCCGTACGATCATGCATGGCTGCCCATGAAATCTCACTTGATTGGTGTGGGGTTCATGATGGGACTGAAAGTTTCCTTAGTATTTTCTTTCTGCTTGATCTACTTGCTAAGTGTTCTTTACTGTATCATCTTTCTTGCTTTTAATTTATGTTTCCTCAGTTTGATGCGCTTCTGAGAAATATTCTTAAATGCATGTCTTCATTTCTTTTAAAATATGGGGTAGCTCGCAGGCCATGAACTGTATGATGAACCCTTGCCATCCGCTGGGATAATCACTGGGATAGGTCCTGTCCATGGGCGACTCTGTATGTTTGTAGCCAATGACCCTACAGTTAAGGGAGGGACTTACTATCCCATCACTGTCAAGAAACATCTCAGGGCCCAGGAGATTGCTGCAAGATGCAACTTACCCTGCATATATCTGGTTGATAGTGGAGGTGCTTTCCTTCCAAAGCAAGCCGAGGTGTTTCCTGATAGGGATAATTTTGGCAGAATATTCTATAACCAAGCTGTAATGTCTGCCGAAGGCCTTCCTCAAATAGCTCTCGTATTGGGTTCTTGCACAGCTGGGGGTGCTTATATTCCTGCAATGGCGGATGAGAGTGTAATGGTCAAAGGAAATGGCACCATATTTCTTGCAGGTCCTCCACTAGTGAAGGTCTGTTCCTCTCATATAGTGTTTCTAATTAGCTTGCATTTATCTCTATGAATGTTTGTTAATTTAGAGGACATTAAGCTATGGTGGTGGTTTTGTCTCTAATCCTAGATTTTATCTGAATAAGATGTTAAAATAGGCTGCTACAGGTGAGGAAGTTTCTGCAGAGGACTTAGGGGGTGCCGGTGTGCATTGCAAGACATCTGGAGTTTCTGACTATTTTGCTCAAGGTAGTTTATAATATTCGTGCTTTGAGCCTCAAGTCCAAAAGTTTTAAAAGTTATTACAGTTTCATTTTCCTTTCCTTGACTAGTTATGCATTTATTACTATTTATGTGCTGTTTACGAGCATTATAAGTTGTAACAATAGTGGAAACTGTATCTTATTACCTTCAAAAACAACTGTTTGGATCCTTTTCATGCAAAGTCGTGTCTTTGTGTCCTTCACACACAAACCTATGTATAAACCAAAAGGCTGGATTAGAAAGGGGGGCACCATAATTTCAAATTTTTCCATTCAGTGAGATATCAAATGCAATTTACATTTTCTGCAGATGAACTGCATGCACTGGCACTTGGGAGAAACATCGTTAAGAATTTACACATGGCTGGGAAAGGAAGCTTGATAAATGAACTGGAAAACATACACCAAGATTTCAAGGAGCCATTATATGATGTCAGGGAACTTCGGTCCATTGCCCCTACTGATCATAAGCAGTCTTTTGATATTCGCTCCGTAATAGCTCGAATTGTTGATGGAAGTGAATTTGATGAATTCAAAAAATTATATGGAACGGTGAGGGCTTTTTAAAACAAAAATTGCCTACTTTTTTATTCGTTCTTTCTTAATCTTTCTAAACTTCATCAAATTGCATGGAATGCAGACTCTAATTACAGGCTTTGCCAGAATTTTTGGTCAGCCTGTAGGAATTATTGGAAACAATGGGATATTATTTAACGAATCTGCTTTAAAGGGGGCACATTTCATTGAGTTATGCACACAGCGGAATATTCCTTTGGTCTTTCTTCAGAATATCACTGGATTTATGGTATGTGACACCAATTCACTTACCGTGTTAAAATTTTCTAAACTGAATTCTTTTTTAATGTATTCCATTTTGATCTTAAATATGTACGCTTTTTTACTTGTAAATTTAATTCTTAGATCTTAGGCTCATATGTTGTACATCTGACCCGATAATGGTTTTCTTTCTACTATTATTCTAAATAACCCTTACTCATGTTTGGAGTTTTGAGTATCATTCATTTTGCTCGTGTGTAAATCTACAATACATCTTTTGTCTTATTTAGATGGAATGTTAGATTGTACTTATTGTCCAACTTTTATGTGGATGTACTTCTAGTTTCATGATTATTTATTACTAAATAGAAGTTTTCAAGATTTGTAGAAGCTGGGAGGTGATGTTTATAGTTTGACAGGTTGGCTCAAGATCTGAAGCAAATGGCATTGCAAAGTCGGGGGCAAAAATGGTCATGGCAGTTTCTTGTGCAAAGGTCATTCTCTAATTGTTCCTTATGACTAAAAGTTATTTTAATAATGTGATTTATATCTAGCCAATCTAGCCATCCATTATGCAAGAACACGTAAAATAGGCTGCAGCATGTTTATGTAATGACTGGTGATCGGTAGCCAGGAAGTGGTCTAAGATCTTCTGCTACTATGCACTTCCATTCTGTGGGTATTTGATATATCAGAAATGAATGTTTTTAACTTTTAAGGACATTTAGCGGGAGCTTGATCTTCGGCTTCTTAATTGCAATAACTTTTGTAGCTATTGCGTTCTTCTGTTATTGACCGTGGTGGATCATTGGGGGACCAATGGGAGCAAGTATGAATGAGTCATAAAGATTTCAATTTTTTTAAGAATAAATATAATAAAATCAAGCATTTGTTATTATTATGCCTACCAATTTCTTTTTCCATTTACGGTCTTTTAGAAACTAGTTATTTGTGCTCTTTTGATTATTCAACTGTTTGTGTAATTTTAAAGGAGTTTGATTATATGATTAAATATTGTAAGTGTCCTCTATTAATACTGTTATATTACCACTTACCACACACCTGGTGTTATCGATTTATTATTTTTTTTACTTATTTAAGTTCATATTCAGCCCCGTCAGCTAGGATTTTAACTACTCATCTGGTTTAATTTTCTTTATAAATTCTTAAAGGGTGGGCATTACTTTTGTCCTCGTGATTTGTACTAAAAATGTAAATGGGACATATTAGCTATTGAAATGGTTTCTCACCTATTTATCTTTATTTCAATTTTATGGGAATAGGTCCCCAAAGTTACTATCATTGTTGGCGGAAGCTTTGGTGCTGGAAATTATGCCATGTGTGGCCGAGCATACAGTCCCAACTTTTTGTTCTTATGGCCGAATGCCAGAATTTCTGTGATGGGCGGTGCTCAGGTAGGCTTTTACTCTATATTTCTTGGATATGGAATATATGGCAAAACAATTTATACTCTATAGTCTTGCTATGCCAGGAAAGGAACCATAGTATATAAAAGTCCTGATTTCTTTCTCACATGTTTTTCTAAACTTTTAGGTTTCTGATCATGTTATAGATGTGCTTATGAAGGATAGATAAGTTTGCCAATGTGTTATACATCCAAGGGGCTTGTCTCGTAAAATACAATACATCTTGTTATTATGTGTGCCAAATAATTGGTGAAAGTTTGAGGTTCCCCTCATAATGTTGTTCCTTAATCATGTGTTTGTCTTACTTTCTTACTTGTTTCTAAGAGCTGTATTTTGCCTATCATCTTGGCCTACTCATTGTAAGACTCACCAATTTCTTGAAAAAAATGTCATGTTTGCAATGTAAAGGCTGCTGGTGTACTGAGTCAGATAGAAAAGAGCAATAAAAAGAAGCAAGGAATTAAGGTAATGTTCAATTTAATCTGATGAACAATAGTTTTCTTTCCTGAGATTACCAAGTACTAGTTCCCATATTTTTCTTTGGACCTGTATTTGCAGTGGGACAAAGAAGAGGAAGAAAGATTCAAGGCGAAGGTCGTCGATGCATATGAGAGAGAAGGAAGTTCTTACTATTCCACAGCTCGGCTATGGGACGATGGAATCATCGACCCAGCCGACACCCGAAAGGTTATCGGTCTGTGCATCTCGGCTTCCCGGAACCGTGCCCCAGAAGATACAAAGTTCGGTGTATTTAGAATGTAAAATAGTATGCAATAGATATGTTTCTGTTGCACAAGTAAGTAAGGCCTAAAACTAGCAGTTGGCAACAAAAATGTTTGCTGCTCATTTGTTCCAAGATGTGTTACAGATATGATTTTATGTACAACTTCAACTTTTCCTAGAACCACTTTCTGTTGTTCAGTTACTGGAAGGTCAGTATATAACATTCGAAATAATCTGAGAATAAAAGTTATTCTGCTGTGGAATTGGGATGCATATTGTTATGTTTTCTGTAATATAAAACAATCTTGTATAATTACGATCCTCTTATATTATTTTATGAGTTGTGGAGTGCACCTCATATAATTAAATTATTTAACAATAATGTAATTAAAGGGATTGATACCAACGTTAAGAATTTTTGCACGAGTGTTGACAATTTTTCTCATGTGTTCAAATAGTGATAATGCAATTCAATAAGGTAGAGAGATTGTTGAGACATCTCAATAAATTCATTTAAGCTTTTGAGTTTATTGTCCTATATTGTTATTTCCTCCTAATTTATTATGATTTCCATTCAATGGGTCTCTGTACGGATCTGCCTCGTTTTTTAGTTCAACGATGAAGAAGTGGGGATGGGGATTATAATCGGCAACATTTTAGTTGAGAGTATATAGCTCGTTTTTTTTTTTTCGGAAAACAAATAATATATAGCTCGTTAGAGATGGGTCCTGACGATTTTCAGCGGACTGGGATTTCTCTGTTTATCAGGGATGAGAAAAAATTATAAATAAATAAAGTAAATTCACTGCATTAATCAAAAGCGCCCGTGGCCTAATGGATAAGGCGTCTGACTTCTAATCAGGCGATTGTGGGTTCGAGTCCCACCGGGCGTGTTTTTTCTTTTTACTTTTATTGTTTTCTTTCCTTCTCAGGAAAGTAACGCATCTTACTTACTTTTATAAATATATATATATATTGGCAAACTTATATTTTTAATTAGAGTATATAACCGTAATATTCCTTTTACTTTTATTGTATTTTTTTCTCGGGAAAGTAACGTATCTTACTTATTTATATATATACACATATATGTTTAATTAAGAGTATATAACCGTATTATTTTATTATGAGGTGGCAACTCAAACTTGTATTGGTATAGCCCACCAAATTTTACCCAATGGTTCTGCTATAATCCTTTTTTCCTAATAAAACATAAATTTGGTGTTGAACATGTTCATTTCAACGAAACTTAGTTTGTTAAGATATATATATTTGACTAAAAGATTAAAAATTCGAATCTTAATCTTCACATTGTTGTTGTTTGAAGTTGGAATAGTGAGAGTGTGCACAATAAAGAATATAGGTATGATATTGGTTGTAACAAAAGAAACATTAAACTATAGTAGAGTTTAAACGAGATAGAATCCCTAATTCTTTATCACACACAAAAGTTGCAACGAGAGATTCTAACTAAATAACAAGTAAGCAGCAAATACCTAAGGTGAGATGTGAAAAACAATAAAAAGCTTAACTTCTAAAATAGAGCTAATTGATTAAAACTTTCCTTTAAATTCTACCATCTAATGTTCTTGAAAGAAAAATAGAATAAATTAAAAGAAAAAAAATTATAAAACATGATAATAAATACATGCCCAATCTTAAATGTCAAACAGAAAAATGTCTAAATAATCCGAACCCACGTGTCAATATTCTTCATTTGCTTAGTGTCTTCAAATGTCAAATTGAACCATGTCAAAGTGTTTAAATTCTCAATTTTCCATGTGTTTATTTTCTATCTATTATTAGTGTCTAATTTTAACACCTATGATTGTACAAATTATCTATAAATAGTGGCAATTCATAGTTGATTTTATAGTGGAAAGTTTTAGTGGAAAATTTCGGTGAAAAATGAATGTTGAATTTATAAATTTATATTTTTTATTTTTCTGTTTTCAATTTTTAAATTTATATTTTGTTTAAATTTCGTATTTCTTTGTTGTTCGTGACTCGTGTCCATAATTTTACGACAAAAATCAATTTATATTCCTAAATTATGCCCAAATGTGAAACGATTGATTTCATTTTTCTTTCAAAATTTTGGTAATAATAAATAAAAGTCAAAATACGAACAACGCCAAAAGGAAAATATCTACAATTCGAGTGTTGCATTTTGATTTTACATGTAAGTGGGGCCCACTTCGTCCTTTACATGGTGGGTCCCACGTCCCCAACACCCAATCCGGTTCCGCCACCCATCACCTTCATCGAACCTACGTATAACAAATGTCAATTATTAAAATAAAATAATAAAAAAAAGGAAAAAAGAAAAGGAGCAAACTGCATCTTCTAATCTCCACTTCCAGTTTCGATTCGTCTCTCGCATTCTGCGGCTCTGCCCACTGATTTTCTCCATCTTCATATGCCATTTCCAATCTCCGCTACTTCCAGCTCCTTCTCCCATGGCCATGGCTGCCCCTGCATCCTTTTCTTTCTCCACTCCCCAACCTCTCCCCAACCGCATTTCCCCTCATTCACTTCGTCTCTTCTCACCCCCTTCCAATTTCCGTCTCCATCGCGCCCTTAGGGCTCGAAATGCTTCTCTCCCACTCAACATCCAGTGCGTCAGTCAACCCAAAGGTACCTCCTACCATCCTCACGATTGCATCGCCATGCTTTTGTATTTTCGCTATATGTTTTGGAGTTATTGCAGGTCTTATGATCTCTCTCTCTCTCTATTATGTTGTGATGGATCGTGTGTGCTGCAGATGAGATCTTGCTTGTTGTTGTTGTGATTTTCTTATTTTGGATTTGGTACAATAAATGCGATATTCTATATATCAGGGTTATCCAATAGTTGAGCTATAAGGAAATTGACTGTCGGTTACGTTAGATGATTTTCAATACAAATCTCACAGCGTATTCTTAGTTCATTGATCATTTAAAGTAATGTTGGCAATGCTTGTATTAGTTCGAGATGCAATCTAAACTTTGCGGTTTGAAGAAAACGGGGGTGACACAGATTCGTGAAATAAAAAATTTCAAGATTTGTTCCATGTATTCCGCAACATTCATTATTCGTGTTAGTTATATTATGTATATAAATACGTTTAGACTAGGTTATTGGAAATTTTGGAAAATGTTTGATTGGGTCCTCTTTTAGGGTGTTTCCGTGTTTTAACGTTCTGCCTGTTTTCAACTTCGTGTTGTTTATGATGCTTTTATGAAGAGCAAAATGAAAATGATTCTTTATGGTAACTACAGGATAGGGATTAGGGAAGGTTTAGTTTTTGCATTATTAAACTTTTGAATCATCCCCTGCATGAAGGTTTGAATTAAAACAGGGCATAGAGGACTATATTTCATCGCGATTTGATGTTCATTTTACTTGATGAGAAGCAATGTATGTTCTTACGTGAAACAGCACTTAGATCCAAGACTCCAAGTTAAAAGAAATATTTGTAGCTGCTTAGTAAACTTCACTTGGATATGATTTCAGTTGAGTTTGTCATGCATGATCACTCTTTTATTTGCTTGTAAGAGTTAGGCGTATTTGGATTTTGGAGGATTTTTAAAAAAAAATTAGAACAATGATCAAATTAATTTATTATCATTTTGGGAAGAATTGACTTTCTTCAAAAAGGATTGACTGGAAATCACTTTAGAATCCTTTTATGGTAATTTGGAATTCTCGAATCACTTTTAGATATATTGCAATTTGTAAGTAAACAAACTTGTGATACAGTTATTAATGAAAACCACTTTATAGAAAGTATTTTTGGAAAAATATTTTTTAAAAAGTGATTAAATTAGAAGGTATTCGAAACTCACTCTTGGTATTTTTGAGAGGCAATATTTGGATCTTTCTCACTTTTTTATGGGTTTGTTTTTGTTTTTTTCCTTTGTTACTTAACATGTAGTTGATTTTCGAAGTATATATAGATATTTGTTCTGACTAGGCAAGAACACCTTCTCTGACTTTCTGGATTACATCTTGATGGAATGATGGTATATTTATTATTCTTGATCAGTTTTCATTCATTGTATTCTTACCTTCATATATATGTGCATGTATGATGTATATGTATGGTTCTGTTGTATGTTCCTCGTCATTTTTTTGTTTTTTTCCATTGTCTTACTTTATAATTGAAAATAGACTCAACCAAGTGAATCTTCATTCTCGGTTGATGTTTCAGACGATATGTTAATACTCTCTTTTCTTGTTCTATTATGAATGCAATATGCTGTCTTTTTACAAATACCGATCTGTTTAGTTTGCTCATTTTGTTGGTAAAAGAAGAAAATTGATTAGGTAAATCATGTTAGAAAATATTTGCCAGTGAAATCAGTATCCTGCAGACAGAAAATATTTGCCAGTGGAATCAGTATCCTGCAGACTATGATGACGGTCTTATACTTTTGCATCATCAGAAGCCTTGCTCCCCTGTGCAATGGGCTTCTTTATCCTGTAAATTATTCTTTGCAAGCCGTTTGTCTCTAGTAATTCATAGAACACATAATGGTCCAACCTTGCGTACTAGGGAAATTGCTAGTTCATAAAGTATGGTCACGTACGACATTATTAACAGATTACTCTCTTGCGACATCTTTACTGTTAAAAAAATTATGCTTATTGGTGTCCAATGTTTAATCAATAAAACCTGTGTAGCAATTTCAATTTCCATCTCAAGAATGGCTCTCTGAATAACCTTGTCTTGACATTCACAGCTGAGGTGGTTACTAAAGATTCATGGAACAAAATGATTCTAGAGAGTGGAACCCCTGTTCTGGTTGAATTTTAYGCCAGTTGGTGCGGACCGTGTAGAATGGTGCATCGAGTCATCGATGAGATAGCTGCTGACTATGAGGGGAAGCTCAAATGCTTTGTACTCAACACAGATAACGATCTAAAAATCGCAGAAGAGTACGAAATTAAGGCTGTTCCTGTGGTTATGCTGTTCGAGAATGGGGAGAAATGCGATAGCGTCATCGGTACCATGCCGAAAGATTTCTACATCGCTGCCATTGAAAGGGTCCTCAAGCAGTAGGATACATTGACCAGCTCAATTGTGCTAGTTGGTCACCAATACCATTTTTTTGTTGCAGAAGCTTTCCACTGGGTTAGTAGTTCTTGAGCTGTATATAATAAATAGCTTTAATCCCAAGATTTCTTACCGTAGTCGATGGTGTCAGGAGTGTATAGCCTTCATTGTTGTGCTATTGCAGTCCTTTTGTTGTGAAATTGTGACAAAAACTTTGCTGCACTGCAATCCACACTCCATGGTTATGGCTTTTAGGTGAAACCACTTATGAGTTATGAGCTGTTTTCTTACCAAAAACATTTGCTTTTTTGTTAGTTTTGTTGCCTGAATTTGTTTTGGTTTCCATTTCACTCTGATGTTGTTTGGGAAAAAAATATATAGTCGAGACTGATTTCTAAAGTAGAGAATATTTCAAGATATAGAAATAATCTCAGACTTGTTACGGATTGCATATGAAAATTCGCTTCAATTATTTTTTATCATTTGATTGAATGATGGTTTTTACATTATAATTAGATTGTCATTAATTGCAGAATTGAAGATTTTGAAGTTAGATTTTATTTATTTATTTATTTTCTCGATTTATCTCTATGATTGAAATCGGAGGGGACACATTGAATTATGATTTTGAATTAGAAAAGAAAAAGAAAAAAGAGAACGAGAAATGACACTTTTAGACGTGGATTTTAGACTAAATTAGGGTTTTCGCCCCAAGATAATTATTTTTTAAAGTTTCCTTTTGACTTTTTGGACTATTTCATAGTCATTTTCGTAATTTCATTGTAAAAGTTGTGGCTCTTGAAATAAAGCAAGATCAAAACAGGGAATTTTTCCTTAAACACATGAAAGAAAAAAAAAAGGGAATTTTTCTGTTCTTTTTAAAAAATATTTCGGCTAGAAAAGTATAGTCTAAATTTTAAAGATTGGATCAATGGGATTATCAAATGAATTCACATCATTGAATAGTAAAAAGGTGTTGTTGATGATGACATTGTAATGATATTATATTTTTCCTTCAAGGAACAAACTCGAAAAGTGCATCAGATATTTTGCTAGGAATAAAAATCTGAAGAGAATGTACCGTTTAATTTTTTTTTTTTTAAAACTCATTCTGATTTTGTATTTATTATTAAAGTTTAAATACTATTTTGACTGTGGAGTTCAGATATGGTTAATTTTAATTCTTATATTTTCAATTTTGTTTTTTTTTTGTCCAAATACTTTTAAAAGTGTGTTTTAATTCTCTATTCATTTTATATAATGGAAATCCTTTAACACAAATTTAACGAGTGAGATGTCATATTAAATCTTTGAATGAAATAAATGAGATAAAAAAAATGAAAAGGATCAAAAATTCAAAATAACCACTTTTTAAAAGTAAAATTACCAAAACGAATGTTTTGAAAAAATTGAAAGTAAAATAACAAAAATAAAAACCAAAATTACGTGAACCAAAGTAATATTTAAACTTTATTATTTTAGATGTTCTGCTTTCAAAATGGACTTTTTTTTTCAAGTATTTAACCATGGACTTTGAAATTATGGATCTTGTGGTAAAATAAAAATATTGCAGTACATTTAACAAAAAAAAAATGATGTATTGTGTCTAGCACTTCAAATAGAGTAGTACTAGACTTTGTAAATTGTAATTATGGTGAGTTTTAGACTGGGTTTTTTGTTTTCCTTTTAGGCACATTGATGATAGATTTGAATTTAGTGTACTGAGTTTGGTATTAAGTTGTGAAAATTTCTTAGCCTAAAATAGTTTTTTTAATGATATTTTTTTATGGACCAAAAATAGTAAATTACTTCACCAACCCAAGGGAAAAATATTAAATATTATAGGCTGGATCAAGTCACTTATTTCCTAGCCCTTCCCATAAAATATATGGGGTCAATTATTCTTCATTATTTACCAACATGAGTAATATTTTATGGTTAAGTTATCTATCTCTTTTMTAAGAGGGATTATGTTAAAYTACCTAYCYGTGTATTTGTGATGTGTGATTTTTTAATTAAATCTTTTTCGATAGAACCCTAAATTCTTTGGATATGCTATTTTAATATATAAATAAAATCTAGGTTAAAAGGTATGCTAAATAAGTTATATATTTCTTATTCTATTTTTCTTAGTTCAACAATTTTAAAAGGGAGATCGAAACTTTCACTCTTAAGAAAGGTAATTGTGTATTAAGTTTGATATTGTGAAAATTTCTTAACTGAAAATAGTTTTTTAATGATATTTTTTTGGACCAAAAATAATAAATTACTTATCAAACATAAGGAGAAACGGTAAGGCAAAAATATTAAACTTTCAAGCTTATTTTACCACTTCAGCTTCATTCGATAATCAATTCGTTTTTTTTATGACTTTCAAAATTAAGATTAAAAATATTACTTTCATCTATATGTTTCTTTTGTTTTGTTATATARTATTTTATAAATATTTTTAAAATTAGACAAAACTAAAAAGAAAAGGTAGTTTTCAATTACTTATTTTTTGTTTTTTATTTTGAAAGTTCACTCAGAATTCAAATATGGTTTCAAAAGATGTTCTAACTAATGAGATTGTAAAAAATAAACATTAATTTTAAAAACATAAACTATAAATTAAATGATTATCAAATGACACCTTAATTACAGGTTTCTTTAATTACTTCACCAAATATGTTGAACTTGAGATTCAATTAAAYAATAATTTGATCTAGATTATAATGCCTTAACCAATTCATACTCAAGTTAGTTAGTTTAAGTTACTTGGTTTTAATTGTTTCAATCTTGTCACTTTTTAATAATTGTTAACTCAATTAAGGATAATAATTAATCCGTGCGAAAAAAGAGAAAAAAATACTAATTATTAATAAAATAGGTTTAATCCCATTTTCTCCTTGAATTACAAAGATTTTTTTTCTTTTAAAATATCAATTTTAATCTCTAGACTTTTATGTTGATTAAATTTAAGACCCTAAAATGTATGTTTTAGGTCATGAACTTTACAAGTATAATTATTTTAGTCCTTATCTTTATTTTATTTTAAAAAATGTATAACATCCCTTTGAATATGCTTATTAATCTCCTGACATATATTGAAATGACAAGTATTGAAGTAGGTGTATATTAACCACAAAACAATAATACAAAAATTAAATTGATTATTTTAAAAAAGAATTAGGACTATGATAGATATTTTGAAATTTTAAAATCTAAAATAAAAAATAAGGTACCAAAATGATATTTCAAAAGTGTAAAAAAAAAAGAGAGAGAAAAAAAACCTTCAAAGTTCAACCTTCGAAATGAAATTTAAAACAATTAAAAAAATACAGTTCAAACTTCAAAATATAAATGTTAAAATAATTTAATCGAGGAATATGAAGATTAAATATATATATTTTTGACGGTGAGWTTAAATATAAATATATTTAACCTTAAAAAAAATCAGAAGGGCAGACGGATTGTTGAGCATTTGTTGATAAAATATCTCCCCGACGAAAATCATAATTCAAATAAATTGAAAGAATCAAAACTACGTCTCTCGCACGGAGCGTGTGTCACAATTCTTTTCTCGTACACGCCAATGGCACAGCCCACATTAAATGGAAAAAAATAAATAAATAAATTTTATTTATTTTTCAATTTAAATTAGCTTCAATAATATTTTATATAACATAATAGCGAGTGAATTGATAAAATTGATAAAGATTTATAGGAAGAAAAAACATCTAAAGAAGGATGGTTTTTAATTCTTAATCCTTAATTTTTAAATCCTATTTGATAATCATTATTATTTTCATGGTTTTCTGTTTTTAAAAATTAACCTGACTTATATATATATTTTTTTGTATTTATTTTTTAAAAAATATTTTCAAAATCTAAATTAAAATTAAAAAAATAATAAAAATTTAGGACTGATTTGATATGCTACAGAGATTGTGTTTATTGTTTACTGATTTATTGGATTATGTGACTACAAGATTTGAAAATTTGAAAATAACATGTTTTTGAGATTTTGAATTTGAAACTAATTTTGTTTCTTTTTTTTTAAATCTAAAAAATGTAAAAACAAAAAAAATTATTATTCGACAAAATTTATAATATGATAATAAATCAATTAATATTATTTTAGATTTTAACTAAATATTTAATTAGTTTACAAATATACTACTAAACACCTTTTGAACAATTTTCTAAATTGATATTTAATTTCGAAATCCAGTACTAAACACATATATGAGAACGCTGAAAATAAATATGCTTTCATTAAATCATTATTTTCAACCAAATGTAGATTTATTTTTTTACTTTTTAATTTGACTAAGAATTTAAATGTGTTTTAAAAATTATAATTAAAACAAAAGAAAGAACCCGGTCTAAAACATCCATAGAAATTTCAGTGATTTTTTTTACTTTAAAATTCAACCAATTTACTATATATTCTACCATGTAAATTTAATCAATAACTAACTTTAGGACTAAATTAAAAATATTAAAATATAAAAGATTAAATAAATTTTTTTCGAAGGATAAGAATCAAATTAAAAAATCCGACCAACACATATTTAGAGAAAGAAGAAAGCACCAACGAAAACGCGGGACGGTGTTAGGCTGTCGTAGACACGCGCCCTAAAATATCGGGTTGGCGCGTGGAGAGAGTAGCCGATAAAAATATCTGGCTGACATTGGCCGCAGATATTTATATCCAGGATGACGTGGCAATCGGCTGACGCTTTTTACACGTGTAAAAGCGTCGCCATGTGGAGCCTTAATTGGCATTCGCCCCCAAAAACCACCATTCACCGCTTCTCTCTCTCTCTTCAATCTCTCTCTCTCTTCAATTCTGCACGAGCCTGAATCCCGAGAGGGTTTCGGAGCTAAATTTTCGCCACGATTCTGTTTCTTCTCTCTTTTGTTTGATTTGATTTGATTTTCTGTATTTGCTGAGACGGACGAATTCGCGTTGCGTTCGATCGAAGAAAATGGGGGAGCATCTGCTGCAGCCTCGTACTCCGTCGTCGATGTCGCCGCCGGCCG